GGGGGGGGGGGGGGGGGGGGGGGGGGGGGGCTTTTATAGACTTGTAACAAATTCTGAGGTTCTAATTCTTATTATATACTTTTCTTACTATTGACAGTACATTTGTTTTAGTCGATGCCTTGCTCTATAAGTAAAATTTATAAATATTTTTATTACTTTAAAAGTTATTGTTTAAGCTGAAACTTTAAGTAAAATACTTCTCAGAATATTTAAAGTAAAAATAATTTTACTTAAAGTTTTTTTTGCTTAATGTCCAAGAAATTACCATGTTCATCAATAAAGGGTACATCGATCCTTAACGAGAACAACTGAACAATCCCTTAAAGGGACTGTAAGCGTAATTTCAAGTAAACCTCATCGCAAAGATTGCAAACCCCGATTCACAGCTTTTTCTGATCAAAGTATGAATAGAATAGCAATGTTAATGATTTTGAAAACAATTATTTTCAATTGTTGTTTCTCTACAAACCTGAATTGCGAATTTCTACTGCAGGAAACTATATATAAACTATTAGTATTAAGCACTTTTAAACCTATAAAAACGACAATATCTCCCACTTTATGGATGAGATAAAGGTTTCAACAGTCGTGTTGTGAATCGGGTTTTGTCATCCCTTGAAATATCGCAAACTGTCCTCAAAAATCTTGCGGTTTGTTGGTTTCTGAAAATCTATTGTAGATATTTTTTATTATCTTATTGAATTTATAAATTAATTGGATATGGACCAGTTTATATTAAATATAATCTATTTATAATTGTTTACTTAGCAATCAATCAGACAGATAAATCAGTCATCCAGCAGATTAGTTGTAAATACAAAATAAATATATATATGCGTATTTGTATTTTTCATGATAAACTTCAAACCCTAATAGTTCATTGTCAACGATCGTCTTTCTCATCGAGGGCAAAATCAGCGAAGAATATCATCTAATTCCGCGTACAAGATCATATAAATCCGCGAACAAGATCATCTTAGTCCGCGAACAAGATCATTTAAATCCGAGAACAAGATTATCAAAATCCGCGAACAAGATCATCGAAATCCACTAACAAGATCATCAAAATCCGCGAAACCAGCATAATTTGAGAGAACTTTGAAAAATGATAATTTGTCTCATAATATTGATGTTAGAGAAAAAATAGTTTTATCTGTAACTTTTGAATAAACTTTTTAAAAAAATCTGTGTACACTGCGCAATTGATGTATTTCACTGAACTGTTGAAAATCATAATTTCAATTATGACAGCCATCTGTATATAATATATATATATTATTTAGTCTTTTAACATAAACATAAATTCTTTTAAAATATATATTCTAGGATTGCTACTGCGGTGGAAATGAGATTCCTGGTGGATATTCAGCTGATCAGATTCCTCAGTTCGTTCTTCTCACATTCGACGACGCTGTTAACGATCTAAACGAGGTAGTCAAGGGTTCGGAGATTTCAACGGGCAGAAACTTAATTGATATATTTTTGTTTGGTTAGATCCCAGGGTTGGATCCTAGGATTGGATCCTCGGGTTGGATCACAAGGTTGGATCCGAGGATTAGATCACAGGGTTGAATCGTAGGGTTGGATCCTAGGGTGGGATCCTATAGGGTTGGATCACAGGGTAGGATCCTAGAGTTTGGTCACGGGGGTTGGATCACAGGATTGAATCTTTGGGTAGATTCTAGGGATAAATCATTTAATGGAGTAAGGGTCTGATAAGATAAATTAAACCAAGGTTGGTTTTATTGTTCAATGCTTTGGTAGACAGATAGGAATTACCTTAATTGACCGTATTGTAAAGATATATAGTCATTAAGTATAAAATAATCCTCATGAATATAAAGGTTTATATTCTCCCACTTTTTGTGTTTACGACTTAGATTATTCAGATAACGGTCTGTCTATCCACCTACACTAGTTTTTAACGTTTGAAAATAATGATTATCCCGTCACTCATTTTGGTATAACTCCGCCCAACGACTGCAAGTTCAGGGTTCAAATCTTGTAATCATTTGATACATTGCCAAACAAGAGGACGACTAAAAATACAAAATAAGATAGATTGCCGCAATTTAAAAGAAATGTTGTCCAAAAATATTGATGCATGTACTCCGTCTTTTTATTATCATGACAATTTCAAAATATTTAACAGACGGTTTATAAAACTGATGGCAGATTATTGTTATATAGAGCGTCAGATATAAAGGTAGATAGATAAAGCTATAAATGGGGTTGAATAAAGGTTACTAAATGCAATGGCAAATCTCTTCCTTGTTCTAGATATTTACGTAGATCTACATACACCAGGGTTGGGGTATAGAGTATGAGAGAAAGAATATTTTGTATCAGGGTAGGGTATAGAGTAGATAGGGAGAATATTATGTATCAGGGTAGGGTATAGAGTAGAGAGGAAGAATATTGTGTATCAGGGTAGGGTATAGAGTAGAGAGGAAGAATATTATGTATCAGGGTAGGGTACAAAGTAGAGAGGAAGAATATTGTGTATCAGGGTAGGGTATAGAGTAGAGAGGAAGAATATTATGTATCAGGGTAGGGTACAGAGTAGAGAGGAAGGATAGTATGTATATCATGGGTTTGATATAAACAGAGTAGAGGAAAGATTATTTATTAGGTTAGGGTACAGAGTAGAGAGAGACGATAGTATGGGTTCATTATAGACAGAATAGAGGGAAGATTATTTATAAGAGTAGGGGTTAGTTATAGACAGAATAGAGGGAAGATTGTTTATCAGGGTAGGGTACAGAGTAGAGAGGAGGGATAGTATGTATATCACGGGTTCATTATAGACAGAATAGAGGGAAGATTATTTATTAGGGTAGGGTACAGAGTAGAGAGGAAGGATTTTTTATGTATTATTAGGTTTAAAGGGTACCGTTGTGAATCGGGCATGGAACTCTTCTGATAAATGATACAAAGGGATATTTTGCAAAGTTTTAATTAAGTTACTATTTTCAGGCCTTCTATGAAGAGCTGTTCGGCGGAAGGTTTAACCCTAACGGGTGTCCAATCAAAGCTACTTTTTATGTTTCTCATGAGTGGACTGATTACTCACAGGTTACACTAATTTAAAATTTCGTCTTGGTTTTTTTTGGATGCAAAAAATGTCAAATCGGCTGAACCGATATGGTCCAAATTTTTCGTAATTAATTATACTCTGGGAAGGTTTCATGACCACGGCCAAGATTAAAAAGGCCCAATTTTAAAAATTCACCAAAAACCCCAAAAAATCTGCGAAATTTTTAATTTAGTTTTAATTGACGAAAAGAAAGTCGTGAAAGATCAGCAAGAAAAGTTTTTATAATTTTTTTTGAAGAAAGTCGCCTTTGAAGCGTTTTATAATTATTATAAATTAATATAAAATTCCTCAAATATAACAAGACGTTTGATTACAAATATGAGAACATGATTAATTACCCAAAATCAACCATTGAAACCGATTTTGTTGTTGTTGTTGTTGTTAAACTGGTCAAGTCTGAGGCTCCCAATGTTTATTTGTTTGCAATGATGGCAGTATCGAAAACATTGTATTTCTAGGGACTCGGCAAAATAATGCAGTCTAGTCTTTAATTCTAAAGAATCTTTTCTCCAACTCTAGACTAGAATTTTTAAGAATTTATAATTTAAGAACAAATTTATAGCGGATAGTTACTGTTATCTCTCTAGGTCCGACATCTGTACACTAACTGTACTCGGGCTAGGTCCAGTATCTGTACGCTAACTGTTATATCTCTCAGGTCTAGAATCTGTACGCAACTGTTCTCTGTCTAGGTCCAGACTCTGTACGCTAACTGTTCTCGGGCTAGGTCCAGAATCTGTATGATAACTGTTTTCTCTCTCTAGGTCCAGAATCTACACGCTAACTGCTCTCTCTCTCTAGGTCCAGAATCTGTATGATAACTGTTTTCTCTCTCTAGGTCCAGAATCTGTACGCTAACTGTTCTCTCTCTAGGACGAGAATCTATACGCTAACTGTTCTCTCTCTCTAGGTCCAGAATCTGTATGCTAACTGTTCTCTCTCTCTAGGTACAGAATCTGTACGCTAACTGTTCTCTCTCTCTAGGTCCAGAATCTGTACGCTAACGGACACGAGATTGCTTCTCACACAATAACTCACTCCTTCGGAACAAATTTCAACGAAGAGAAGTGGGCTAACGAGGTGGTGGGAGAAGCAGAGCTCCTGGTTAGGTTCGCAGGAGTTAACCCTGCAGATATTAAGGGGATGCGCGCCCCCTTCCTTGCTGTTGGAGGAGATAAGATGTTCAACATGCTCAGCAGGTTGGTTTAGGGAACACAATTTGTCATTTTCGAACAAATGTTCATGATGCATAGGTGTTTATGAAGTATGTAATTATGCATAATTCATGGTGTAACTGGTAGGGAAGTATTTTTACTTTGTTTATGGCTTTGGGAAGTATTTGTACTTTAGTTCATGTTGTAAAGATGTATTTGTACTTTGTTCATGTTGTAAAGAAGTATTTGTACTTTGTTCATGGTGTAAGGAAGTATTTGTACTTTGTTCATGGTGTAGGGAAGTATTTGAACTTTAGTTTATGGTGTAAAGATGTATTTGTACTTTGTTCATGGTGTAGGGAAGTATTTGTACTTTAGTTCATAGTGTACGGAAGTATTTGTACTGAAGTTCATGGTGTAAGGAAGCATTTGTACTTAGTTCATGTTGTAAGGAAGTATTTGTACTCTAGTCCATGTTGTAAGGAAGTATTTGTACTTTAGTTTATAGTGTACGGAAGTAATTGTACTTTGCTTATGGTGAAGGTAAGTATTTGTACTTTAGTTCATGGTGTACGGAAGTATTTTTTCTGAAGTTTATTGTGTAAGGAAGCATTTGTACTTTAGTTCATGGTTTGAGTAGTATATGATATACCGAATTATTTGTACTTTAGTTCATGTTGTAAGAAAATATTTGTACTTTAGTTCATGGTGTAGGGAAGTATTTGTATTTGAGTTTATGGTGTGAGGAAGTATGGGTTCTTTAGTTCATGGTGTGAGGAAGTATTTGTACTTTAGCTCATGGTTTGAGTAGTTTATGATATATCGAATTATTTGTACTTTAGTTCATGTTGTAAGAAAGTATTTGTACTTTATCTCATAGAGTAAGGAAGTATTTGTACTGTAGTTCATGGTGTAAGGAAGTATTTGTACTTTAGTTCATGGTGTAAGGAAGTATTTGTACTTTAGTCCATTGTGTAAGGAAGTATTTATACTTTAGTTCATGGTGTAAGGAAGTATTTGTACTGTAGTTCATGGTGTAAGGAAGTATTTGTACTTTAGTTCATGGTGTAAGAAAGTATTTGTACTTAAGTTCATGGTGTGAAGAAGTATTTGTACTTTAGTTCATGGTTTATGTATTGATACTTTAGTTCCCGGTGTAGGGATTAGGGAAGTATGTTTACTTTTGTATGGAAGTATTTGTACTTAAATAAATAGAATACGGATGTTTTTTCATATTTTACTTCCTATCTGTAGGCTCGCCCCTGCACCATCTTTTAAGCATATTCCTCTGATTCTATGCTCACGTTTTATAAATTCTCTTCTCTTCCTTTGCATGAATAGCACGGTTTATGGTACTCATCCACTAAAGTATGTTAAACCCAGGGGTTGCTTTGGGGTTTAGCCCCTCAACCCCTTGAAACAGTGAAATCTATCGTTTCCAGGCAGTTTTTGAATCCCAATGGATGCTGACCTCCCCCCCCCCTCCCAGAATAAATTCCTGAGTACGCCCCTGGTTAAACCCTATACCTCCCACCTGACCGTTTTAATCTTCACTGAAGTTTATCTAGCAGAAAAATCCGTGGTTTCCCTGTGCCCTTTAGTTCTGTAGATGTCTACATTGTATTTGTACCTGCCTTCCCTCGGCCTTATTTCATAAATTTAACACTCTGCAAAAATTACTACTTCTTGCATGGAAAAAGTAAATTTGAGGGATTCGTCCCCATATCTTGTGTTATCCAGGTTACTCATGGAGGAGGGGGATATGTGTTACATTTGTTATTAATCTTGTATCCTCAAATGTATACATAATACATATATAGGATACCTCCCCCCCCCCCCCAAAACCCAACGCACCCCAACAATATCTAGAAGGTTAAAGTTCATAATTCTATTCACTTCCTTCCTGGGTTTGGTTGAGAATGATTCAGCGTGTCCTGGGTTATATTCCGTGTCAACACTTTGAAATTTAATAGTTTGCAATTTAGCAAGACTACGGCAAAATTAGAAAAAAAATTACGAAATATTAAGATACTCTTCATACTATAGACCTATAATGTTAAACTTTTTAAAAACAAACTAACGGATATTCTTAGCTCTATTTTATCATAAAGTATGGTTTTTAACACTGTATTCCATCTTCAAGTATGGTTTTTAACACTGTGTTCCATCTCCAAGTATGGTTTTTAACACTGTATTCTATCTCCAAGTATGGTTTTTAATACTGTATTCTATCTCCAAGTATGGTTTTTAATACTGTATTCTATCTCCAAGTATGGTTTTTAATACTGTATTCTATCTCCAAGTATGGTTTTTAATACTGTATTCTATCTCCAAGTATGGTTTTTAATACTGTATTCTATCTCCAAGTATGGTTTTTAATACTGTATTCTATCTCCAAGTTCTGTTTTTAATACTTAATTCTATCTCCAATTGTATGGGTTTCAACACTGTATTCTAACACTGTATTCTGTCTTCAAGTATGGGTTTTAACACTGTGTTCTATCTCCCAGTATGGTTTTTATCACTGTATTCTATCTTCAAGTATGGTTTTTAACACTGTATTCCATCTTCAAGTATGGTTTTTAACACTGTATTCCATCTTCAAGTATGGTTTTTAACACTGTATTCCATCTTCAAGTATGGTTTTTAACACTGTATTCCATCTTCAAGTATGGTTTTTAACACTGTATTCCATCTTCAAGTATGGTTTTTAACACTGTATTCCATCTTCAAGTATGGTTTTTAACACTGTATTCCATCTTCAAGTATGGTTTTTAACACTGTATTCCATCTTCAAGTATGGTTTTTAACACTGTATTCCATCTTCAAGTATGGTTTTTAACACTGTATTCCATCTTCAAGTATGGTTTTTAACACTGTATTCCATCTTCAAGTATGGTTTTTAACACTGTATTCCATCTTCAAGTATGGTTTTTAACACTGTATTCCATCTTCAAGTATGGTTTTTAACACTGTATTCCATCTTCAAGTATGGTTTTTAACACTGTATTCCATCTTCAAGTATGGTTTTTAACACTGTATTCCATCTTCAAGTATGGTTTTTAACACTGTATTCCATCTTCAAGTATGGTTTTTAACACTGTATTCCATCTTCAAGTATGGGTTTTAACACTATTCCATCTTCAAGTATGGGTTTTAACACTGTGTTCTATCTCCCAGTATGGTTTTTATCACTGTATTCTATCTTCAAGTATGGGTTTTAACACTATTCCATCTTCAAGTATGGGTTTTAACACTGTATTGGTTTTTATCACTGTATTCTATCTTCAAGTATGGGTTTTAACACTATTCCATCTTCAAGTATGGGTTTTAACACTGTATTCTATCTTCAAGTATGGGTTTTAACACTGTATTTTATCTTCAAGTATGGGTTTTATCACTGTATTCCATCTTCAAGTATGGGTTTTATCACTGTATTCTATCTTGAAGTATGGTTTTCAACACTATATTCTATCTCTAATTGTATGGGTTTTATCACTGTATTCTATCTTCAAGTATGGGTTTTAACACTGTATTCTATCTTGAAGTATGGTTTCAACACAGTATTCTATCTTCAAGTTTGGGGTTCAACACTGTATTCTAACCCTGTATTCTATCTCCAAGTATGGTTTTTAACACTGTATTTTATCTTCAAGTATGGTTTTTAACACTGTATTCTATCTCCAAGTATGGGTTTTTGACACTACATTTAAGTTTTAACACTATCTCTAAGTATAGGTTTTAATATTATATTTTATCTTTTTACATTAAATTTTTTTATCTTTTGATATAGTTAAAAACATTAAATTTATCTCCAGGTAAGGTTTTAACACTATTCTCTAGCTATGGGTTTAACATTTTGTTTTCTCTAGGTATGATTTAAACACTGTTTTATCTAGGTAATGGTTTTAACACCATGTCTTCTCTAGCAATGGTTTTAACACCATGCATTCTCTAGCTTTAGTTTTACACTCTGTTTTCTCTAGTTCTGGTTTTTAACACTGTTGTCTCTAGGTATGGTTTTTAACACTTTGTTTTCTCTAGGTGTGGTTTTTAACACTTTGATTTCTCTAGGTATGGGTTTAACACTTAATTTCTCTAGGTATGGGCACTTATGACTTCTCTAGGTATGAGTTTAACACTATTTCTTTATGTATGGTTTTAAACACTATTGTTTCTCTAGGTATGGGTTCTACTATGACTCTTCTATGCCAACTGGATCTCCGTCCTGGCCCTACTCTCTGGAATACAGGATGCCACATTCATGCAGTGTAAAACCCTGCCCTGGGTAGTTATACATTTTTAAATAATCTTTATTATTAAGTTTTGATTATTATTATATAGATGGATCATGGATACCAAATAATTTTAAGGAATTTAAACTAGGGTTTCCAGCGAAAGAAAACAAAATTTTCTTTCGTATTTTGCAAACCTTTTCCTAAAAATGAATTTTGCAAAAGGAAGCGAAATTAAGTGATGCGGAATTTCGCGAGAAAAATAATGTGCGACAATTTCGCGAAAAAAAGCGAAACAAATTTTTTTTACTAACGGAATGTGAATATTTCGGCGAACGATTTTTTCCTCGATTTTTTCCCGAAACCCTAATTTGAATTCGTTTTAAAACCTTCCATGTTCCATCCATGCCTACCCCCGCTAAAGATCGAAAAGTAAAAGTAAATGCTACTTTTCAAAAAAAAATATTTTCAAGATTTCAGTAATACCAGATCGAAAAAGCGAAATTTACATGACAAAAAACGGCAACAAATAGCGAAAATACATGATTTTTAAAAAAGCTGAAGCCATGACTTATTTAAACACATTTGACACACATTTGACATTTTTTGTTTGTTTCAGTGAATCTCACCCTGGTATGTGGGAAGTTCCAATGAAAACCCTCCAGGATGTCAGGTAATTCTAGATTTTTTACTCTTTGTGTTTTAACGTTTTTAAAGGTTTATTTTTTCTGAATGTGTTCGGTATTTCAGGTGATAATTCATTTTCGGGATCATATCTTTAAATCTTTCCTTAAACCTTTATTTGATAAATAATTTCTAACTTATAAATTGTTCAATTCTGCCAATTGTTTTTGCAGCAAAAAACCGCAATTCACAATTATATACAGGGATACGCACAAAGGATGAGACTTCAGAGACGAGTGTACGGGATTTATTATAGTCTTGTTTCTTGCACTCAGCATTTCCTGTCCCTGTAGAATTGTTTCTTTCTAATAAAGACTTTATCCAAGACAGAAGACTTAATTAAATAGTCATAGATCATCACATTTAAAAGTTTTAGGTAGTTATTTAGGTAGCTATTTAGCTAGTTATTTAGCTAGTTATTTAGCTAGTTATTTAGCTAGTTATTTAGCTAGTTATTTAGCTAGTTATTTAGCTAGTTATTTAGCTAGTTATTTAGCAAGTTATTTAGCTAGTTATTCAGGTGGCTTTTTAGGAAGTTATTTTAAAAAACTGGGATTCATTATTGATCAGACCCAGCTTTTAAAGGTACCGTTGTGAATTTGACATGCTTCTATATAAGAGACAGTTTAAGCTACGTTGTCAGTACTTAAAATCAATTTAATTTAACCACTAATTCTACATTTTCTTTTAGAACAACTTGTAAAAAGTGATAAGGGGGGGACACAATATTAACTTTATTTTTATATTTAAATATGTTATTATTACAGGGGAGGTTCCTGTTCTATGGCTGATGGATGTTTCTATACTGAAGATGCAGATTCTATCCAGAAGATATTTACCCAGAACTTCCTGGAGCACTACACCAAGAGTAAAGCCCCCTTCCCTCTCTTCTTTCACGCTGCTTGGTTCTTCAACAGGAGTCACAGGAAGGAAGGATTTCTTAAGTTTATAGATTCTATTCTAGCTCTGCCTGATGTGTACTTTGTAACCTCACAGGAGCTCATTGCTTGGACCAGATTCCCAGAACCCCTACCCCAGGTACTTATTCTCAGAACCCCTACCCCAGGTACTTATTCTCAGAACCCCTACCCCAGGTACTTATTCCCGGAACCCCTACTCCAGGTACTTATTCTCAGAACCCCTACCCCAGGTACTTATTCCCAGAACCCCTACCCCAGGTATTTATTCCCAGAACTCCTACCCCAGGTACTTATTCCCAGAACCCCTACCAGGTACTTATTCCCAGAACCCCTACCACAGGTACTTATTCCCAAAACCCCTACCCCAGGTACGTATTCCCAGAACCCCTACCACAGGTACTTATTCTCAGAACCCCTACCCCAGGTACTTATTCTCAGAACCCCTACTCCAGGTACTTATTCTTAGAACCCCTACTCCAGGTACTTATTCTCAGAACCCCTACCCCAGGTACTTATTCTCAGAACCCCTACCCCAGGTACTTATTCTCAGAACCCCTACCCCAGGTACTTATTCTCAGAACCCCTACCACAGGTACTTATTCTCAGAACCCCTACCCTAGGTACTTATTCTCAGAACCCCTACCACAGGTACTTATTCTCAGAACCCCTACCCCAGGTACTTATTCTCAAAACCCCTATCACAGGTACCTATTCCCCATAACTCCTACCCCAGGTACTTATTCCCAGGACCCCTACCCCATGTACTTATCAACCCCTACCCCAGGTACTTATCCCAAGAACCCATACCCCAGGTACTTATTCCATATAGAGAACCCCTACCCCAGGTACTTATCCCAAGAATCCTTACCCCAGGTACTTGTCCCAAGAATCCTTACCCCAGGTACTTATTCCAAGAATCCTTACCCCAAGTACTTATCCCAAGAACCCCTATCCCAAGTACTTATCCCATATAGAACCCTTTTCTTAAAGGCACCAATTCCCATTCCCTGTTACCGGAACTCTTAAATGTGTTGTTTCCTCGTCTTAATCACTAATTTTCTATTCCCTATATCTTTTTAACTTGATTGTGTAAACCTTAGATTTTTTATTTTATTAGCAGAATTAAGAAAATTTAACGTTGCAAATATCTAAAAATTAGAAAATCATTAAAAAAGAGAATTTCATGTCTTTACTTTTGTTTATTTAGGTCCATACATCTCCTACCTTCCACTGTAATTTCCCTGACAGACCTGGACCCTGCAATAAGAAGAAATCAAGGTAGCATTCTTTACCGCCAGTTGACCAACATTACCGACCTTTGATTCTTAACAGAGGGACGGTAAGTTTATTTACGTCCCTAAGGACAATTAAGTAAAATATCGACCCGCTCTGAAGTTTTCGTGAAAAAATACTCGCATTTTCATCTCAAAAACGATAAAATTGTGCACTACTATTTTAGGAAATTAAAAATCTTACCTAACCAGGGCTTCCCCCGACCAAATTTAACCTCTACGCTTTGGATGTTTTTTAGGGAAAATTGGTCGAGGGAAGTAAAAACCCCTTAACAAGTAGTTTTGTGGTTTTCCTTAAAGGGACTGTAAGTGTAGTTTTAAATGGCTCTCCATGCTAAGATGGCGATGTTCAATTTGCAACTGTACCCTTGAAAGCTTTGTCCGACCAAGTATGAATTAGATATCAATGCTTTTGTGTCTTACATTGTTTATTTTCATTTGCGGGTGCTCTGTGAACGTGATTACGCATTTTTTGCTTTAAGAAGTAATGAAGAAAATAACAGATATTAACACTTTCGAGCCACGAAACGAAGATATCTTCCACATTTATGATTATATTAAGATTTTAAGGGTACCGTTGTAGATCGGGTATTGTCATCTTTGCATGGAATGTCACTTGAAATTACGCTTACAGTCCCTTTTATAGAGGTTTCCTAAAAATTGCATCAGCACAACCTAATAAAGATTATTAATTGTAAAATATTGTTTTAAACAGTCCCCACCCCTTGCAGTTCGCCCCTTATAAAATGTTCAATTTTACCTAACAGAATGTTTCTCTGAATACGTTTCATTTACAATTTTTGTTATCAATGTCCTCGGATGCGTATACAAGGAGAGGGTTATGGTAATTTAGGGGGCTCAGCCCCACCTGTACCTGTACCTGTACCTGTACCTGTATCTGTATCTGTACCTGTATCTGTACCTGTACCCTGTACCCTGTACCCTGCCCCACCTGTATTTTTAACGTTTTTAAAAGTTTGTATGGCTTTAAAACCTAATTCAAACAGTAAAGATCTACGCGTAAACCTGGAAACAAAGTGTCCATTAATATCTTGGAAAACATTGTTTACCTGTAAACTTTTAACATGATAAAGCTGACGACTGTATATAACAGCAAACACTGCCAATTGCTACCCTGTCCCTGTATTAACCAATTGTTAAAAGATTGTTGTGTTTCAGGTGTAATTTATCCCACAAAGGAGACTCCAGGCAGTTTGCCACGTGTCAGCAACAGTGCCCGAAATCCTATCCCTGGGTCAATAATCTTAATGGAGACTGATTAGGAAAATAATTTCAAAAAAATTTTTTAACCTTTTTGAAACAAATTCGCAAATTCAAATGATTTTCGTTTTCTCCAATTTTCTTTTTATTTTCATATAAAATCCGTTTCTTGGACAATTTTCATAATTGTTTAATGACACGCTTTTTTCCATTTTTTAAATTTGAACTATGTTCCATCTACTTTTATTCAATTTTTCTTAAAAGCTCAAAAAAAATTTAAATCATTATTGAAGAAAATTAAATTTGATTGTTTAAAGTTTAGAGAGTTCCTGATTCTAGAAATATTCTTTCAGAACCCATTCATGCTCAACAATCCTCCTCCTCCTACAAACATTAATCTCGAAACCAGTTGTCCTAATCTAGGACATATTTTTCCTCATCCAGGACGTATTTGTCCTAATCCAGGACGTATCTCCGATAGTAAAGCTGCTCCGGGACTAATAAGACCGCTGCTATATAGGGTCACTGTGATATAAATATATTTATAGTGAATAGGGTGCAATTGGTACTGGGAGATAGAACTCCAAGTATATATAGACAATCTAATTTTATATTTTATATGAACTTTCAGTAATAAATGTCGTGACTAAACTTAGATGCTTAATTAAGATAAAGATTAATAGACGAACAGTGGTTATTTGGGGAGTAAAGGAGTGAAATGAATAATTAAAAGAAAGAAATGTCTATTCGAGTAATATCATGAAAGTAATTTCTGTTGATCTCGAGATCAATGATTGATCTCGAGATCAATGATTGATCTCGAGATCAATGATTATCTAATTTTGTTAAGATTATTTGAAAATTAAGCTTGTTTCCAGAAAAGGTTGATAATTCTACCAATCAGAGTGGCGTATGTAGAATCCCAAATTTCAAATTTTGCGCGATATTTGATATTCACAAAACTGCCTAATCCCATTCGTAAAACCCGGGTTTTAAAACTGGTTTTCATAACTATACCCTGTCTTTAAGTTTTGTCTTAAGATTGATGATAGCTGGTTTATGCAAGTAATGCACTCTGATTGGTTATATTTTAGATACTTGCCTGAATATTAAAATAAAGATTATATATTAATCTGCAGAGAAAAACAAAAACAACACAATTCTAAAATTCTCAGCTCTGAAAAAATAAAACTATGTGTGAGGCTGCTGAATACCATGAATTTAAAGTGGAAAACAAATTCAGCTTAGTCGTCTGAGGTTTCATCTTTTATGAGTAACCATGAAAATACATGAGCTGTCCTTCTTCGCAATAGTCGTGGATTTGTTGTAGTTATAAACCAGAGCCCCAAACTTTAATATTTATTTTTACAAAAAATGCTACCGTTCCTCACAAAAAATCAAATTTTCAGTTTTTCATTTTTTAAATCTATGGCGCAATATTTTCGGTTGATAGATTATACCAATTAGAGGTCTATAGCACAAAATATTAAAACAATTTGCATTTTTTATTTTGCCTCCTTGGCTTGGTACTTTCTTAAGTACATAAGTTAATTCCTTATCTTTGTTTTTCCTCCGTGTTAGGTGATTTCAACAGAGTAAAAAAATAAGTTGGGTTTAGTCAATATTCGGAATCCGAAAAATACGGCCGTTCCGAATTATCTTATTTTCTACCAACTCAAAATTATGTTGAAAAAAGATTTATCAAAAGGCCTAAAGCATCCACTGTTTTTGGTTCAGAGCTTGGATATCGAGATCAATGTTTGATATCTTTTGTTAATTCGTTGGTATAATTTAATCTTAATTCGATATTCCACATGGTAATCGTCCCCTGTCTACAGGGTGTCCCAAAAAACATGGGAATTCAGTGACGAATTCGATATCGTCTTTTCAAATAATTCTTCGATTTAGTATAGTGATACCTACTGAGAAAGCTGTAATCTGTAAGAGTTTCGTCTGCTATGTTTACATTTTGTTTGTTTATGTTTTGACTGCAACCGGTTGTACTTAGTAAAACAAGAAAATTACAGTTGCAAACAGAGTTAACTTGTCCGTATTCACTGTTCATCTTGCGGAGACATTATAGACACATCTTTGTAGTCTTTTACCCTTTTCATAAAATAAACTCTAGCAGACATAATAATATTATGGCTTTTGAAATTAGGTATTACAATGCTAATTCATAACAAAGACGATATCGAATTCGTCACTGAATTCCCATGTTTTTTGGGACACCCTGTATATAAAGGGAGCTCTGGTCAGGCGAGGAATATCTAAAATCAAGAGACGGAAAGGTATTGATTTTCATAGTTTCTCAAATTAAAAGTTGATCAAGCAATCCGGATAATACGAAAAGGTTAAATCGTTATACGCCATAAATTTGCATTTTTCGTGAAAAATTTGTTTTTCGAAAAAAAAATTCCATTTTTTCCTCGAGAAAAATGCGAAAATGTTTGCTCTTTTCTCAAATTATCGCTTTAATATGTCTTGCGAATAAATGGAAAATGGAAATGGAAAACACAAAGGCGAAAATTTCGAGAGAAAAAAATATGAAACTTTTGCGAAAAAAGTACGGAAGAGAAATTATTAATAATGATATAATAAAAGTTCTAATGGTGAGATGAGCATAGAATACACGCTTTTTGGCGCAATAATACAACACTTAAGGTTTCACGAAAACAATTTTTGCGAAATACGAACGAAAATTTTCGCATTTTTCCGCAAAAGATTTCGTTCGCTGGTAACCCTACTCTGCACTGGTTAATAATAATGTTTAATCAGAATTTTTAATTGTTTCCTTCTAATAAAAAATCTATTGTTTTCGGATTTTTCTTCTATCTTGAGTAACCGTCAAGATATCCCACGCAGAACCTTGTCTAGATAAGATTTGTACATTCAGGTTTAGATATTAGAATACGCATACGCATTTCAGGGAAAGGTTTGTTTTATGTTTAGTTTGAACGGACATTGAAAAATGTTCTTTATAGTTCATTTAATTCGATTGATTCATTTAATTAACTGCCTCGTGGTATTTTCAAATACAGGGTATGTTACGCGAGCTATGCTGCGTTCATAAAGTCTATGTGATACCCCTGCGAATCTCTGAGTTCTCCCTGAGGATCTGTACAGAACGTATTGTAGAGAACTAGTTTTAGAAGCTGTTTACAGTCCGACTACGCATGCGCAAGTTTTCTGCGTGGAAGCGAGCAGATTCTACCTTAGTATATATTTGTATTTCATGTAAAGATCGTCGATTATTAAAACCGTGTGAGATTCTAGGACCACTGCGGTAATTATGCTTATATTTATATGAATCTTGATTATTTATGTTCGGTTATGGTTGATATCGTATAATGTAATGTATGGGTTCCTTGCCACAGTTTTTTAATGCCTGAGTGGATTTATTGCTGTATTTGTATGATTTGTCACTCAATGCTTTTTCTGTAGGCTTATAAAAGATTATTTAGATTGAAGACTCAGAGAAATAAACGTTCGGAACCTTATTATCATCCTTTTGTTATGGAGAGCGTTGAGAGAAGGAAGTCTTACAATCCTATCCAGAGAAATACCACTCGGTACTTATAAGTTTCATTAGGTCTTTAGGGAATTCGCTAAGTAGCGAAACAGGGTATCCCAGGAAACATGACAGTTGGTGAATAGTTTAAAATTTTCTCTTCCATAGTTTGATAAGTTGTTTGATACTAAAGAGTCTAGTAACATTTTTATATGACAGTTATGTTACAGTAAAATTGATTTCACAGTAAAATATAAACATTTTTTTAAAGGAATAAATTGGAAAAAGTCTAATATTTCTAATACAGTATGTAGAAGAAGACATTCAAAACTATTCACCAACTGTCATGTTTCGTGGGACACCAGCTGTATAATCTTTTGTGCTTAAGTCACACGTTGGAGAGAAAAAAACGAAGCTATTGTTTTACATGTATTATATATAAACTAGGCTTTTAGGGCGCTTAGTGCCACTTTTTTAAATCAACAATTTAAGCTTTTAACTGTTGCTATGAAAAGTAGCTATATTTTGAATGGTTTTAAAATTTTCCATGAGTTCTCTGTTAAAATCAGCACATTTTTACAAATAATAAATATTGAAGTTTTTTCTCGACCAAAATGTTTAATTTTGGCAGTCCATATATCAGAAACCTTCCCTGGGCCCGCTCTCTATAATAATGTTTAAACAGTGGTCGTGAAGTTCACGTACTTTGGGGGACGATAGTTTGGCCGCTAGATGATTGTCACATGCAATATTCTTATCTGATAGATAAATAATTAATACGAAAGACATCTATAAGCGGCCAAACTAACGTCCCCCAAAGTACGTGAATCACACGACTACTATCTAAAGAGAGAACGGGCTCTGGGGTCCTGTGAGTTGCCATACAAAAATTGGGCTCCATATCGGCCCCAACCGTTTTGACGTATATTGAATACAAACAAACACCAAGACACCGAATCAAATATATATTTAGATGTTTAAAGTTTGTCATTCCTAATCTAATTCCATGATGGAGTTTTATACAGAATTGAGGATGGCTAGAGGGCGTGTAAAAGCCAACGATGTTGGTTCCTGTACCTCCTCTCCTCTCCTTCTTCCAACCTTGATATTTGACCTTCCAGTCATCTCAGGGTAGGGAGCAGAGTAGGGGCGTACTCCGGATATACCCTGAGATTCCAGGAACTAAACCCGGTGTATCTTGAACCCTTGGTTTAACTATTCAGATCAGTTTCAAACTAAATCATATTCCTTCTAACTCTAGTCTTGAGTAACTAGATGTAACCCCCCTTATTCTTCCTTGATAGTGTCTGGTATTGGAACATTCCTGGATATCTAAGAGGTATATCCCTGGATATCTAAGAAGTATATCCCTGGATATCTAGGAAGTATATCCTTGAATATCTAGGAAGTATATCCCTGGATATCTAGGAAGAATATCCCTGGATATCTAGGAAGTATATCCCTGGATATCTAGGAAGTATATCCCTGGATATCTAGGAAGTATATCCCTGGATATCTAGGAAGTATATCTCTGGATATCTAGGAAGTATATCTCTGGATATCTAGGAAGTATATTCCTGGATATCTAGGAAGTATATCCCTGGATATCTAGGAAGTATATTCCTGGATATCTAGGAGGTATTTCCCTGGATATCTAGGAAGTATATCCCAGGATATCTAGGAAGTATATTCCTGGATATCTAGGAGGTATTTCCCTGGATATCTAGGAAGTTTATCCCTGGATATCTAGGAAGTATGTCCCTGTATATTAAGGAAGTATATCCCAGAATATCTAGGAAGTATATCTCTGGATATCTTGGAAGTATATTCCTGGATATCTAGGAAGTAAATCCCTGGATATCTAGGAAGTATATCCCTGGATATCTTGGAAGTATATCCATGGATATCTAGGAAGTATATCTCAGGATATCTAGGAAGTATATCCCTAGATATCTAAGAAGTATATTCCTGGATATCTAGGAAGTATATACCTGGATATCCAGGAAGTAAATCCCTGAATATTTAGGAAGTATATCCCTGGACATCTAGGAAGTATATCCTTAGATATCTAGGAAGTATATCCTTGGACATCTAGGAAGCATATCCCTAGATATCTAGGAAATATATCCAAGGATATCTAGGAGGTATATCCCTGGATATCTAGAAAGTATATCCCTGGATATCTAGGAAGTATATCCTTAGATATCTAGGATGTATATCCCTGGATGTCTAGGAAGTATATCCCTGTATATTTAGGAAGTATATCAGTGGATATCTAGACAGTATATCTCTGGATATCTAGGAAGTATTTCCCTGGATATCTAGGAAGTATTTCTCTGGATATCTAGGAAGTGTATCCCTTGATATATAGGAATGGTATCCCTGGATATCTAGGAAGTATATCCCTGGATATCTAGGAAGCATATCCCTGGATATCTAGGAATTATATCCCTAGATATCTAGAGAGTATATCCCTGGATATTTAGGAAGTATATCCCTGGATATCTAGGAAGTATATCCCTGGATATTAAGGAAGTATATCCCAGGATATCTAGGAAGTATATCCCTGGATATCTTGGAAGTATTTCCCTGGATATCTAGGAAGTATATCCCTGGATATCTAGGAAGTAAATCCCTGGATATTAAGGAAGTGTATCCCAGGATATCTAGAAGTATATCCCAGGATATCTAGAAAGTATATTCCTGGATATCTAGGAGGTATTTCCCTGGATATCTAGGAAGTATATCCCAGGATATCTAGGAAGTATATTCCTGGATATCTAGGAGGTATTTCCCTGGATATCTAGGAAGTATATCCCTGGATATCTAGGAAGTATGTCCCTGTATATTAAGGAAGTATATCCCAGAATATCTAGGAAGTATATCTCTGGATATCTTGGAAGTATATTCCTGGATATCTAGGCAGTAATTTCCCTGGATATCTAGGAAGTATATCCCTGGATATCTTGGAAGTATATCCATGGATATCTAGGAAGTATATCTCAGGATATCTAGGAAGTATATCCCTGGATAACGGATGTCTATCTATCAAAGATTGAATGTATTATGATGAAGGTGTGTCTTGTATGGTAAAGTTCCGGCCTTTCATACACAAGTTACAAGATACAACCAAATTTTCGAATATATTAAAGATCTTAAAACCAGTCATAGTTCATATGTAGGGGCGTTCATGCTCATATAGAATACAACAATGACATTTAGATTTATGAACGTGTCTCCGTTCTGTATCACGTGACAGCACTGCCATTGGTTGAAGTTCTGATCACGTGACACAGACGTATAAATTATATTATCAATTATATGTATTATAAATGAAAAATTATTATACTTAAATTATAAAAGGAGCAAACCTAAGTTTTTCAGGCTCCCCTGGGATATCGTCGTTTTCAGATTGGTTGCGTATATGCTGAATATGATCTGTTTAAAACTTAGAATCCTATACCAAATCTCACATAATGTAAGTTTTGGTAAAATCATGACACAGTTTTATATCAATTTCTCGAGATAGGAACATCAGATAGAACTCTAATAGATCTCGTTCAACTCCTAAAACGCTCAGGTTATAGCATAAACCCTTCTTTCATTTTTTAATAATGTAGAAAAGACAGAAACAAGTTTAGAGGTGTAGAAAACCAGGAATGGAAGAACTAATATAATAATGAATAAAAGTCCAAAAGCTAATAAATATCATCATAAAAAGAGCACTGGCGTCTAAATACATATTTCAAAACTGCAATCTAGGAGGTCTTGCCAATTTTTTTTGTTTTCCTAGAGGTGCAAATCATCCGAGAAATCTGTGTTTTATATACAGTGGTATGCAACTACATCAATACAATGAAGACGACTTTTTAATTTAAATTTTGATTGTTTACAAGCTTGTTTCGAATTAAAAGTTTACAAGTAATCAAAGAGAAGCTTTCTTAATTGAAAGTTTATTCTTGTTTCCATTTTTGTGTGCATGTATGTTGTTTAAAAGCTTGATATAAATCAAAATTGAAATCGGAAGTCGTCTTCACTGAATTGATAAAAACGCCCACCATTGTATGGCGTGGGGAAGTTAAATAACAAGTCCTAGAATGTTTACAATCTAAATTATCCAGGGCTAAACAAGAAATTTTCTTAGGACAGAGATATAGAAGAGAAGAACGTTCAGATATATAGAAGAGAAGGACATATATATATATATAGAAGAGAGGGACAGATATATATAGAAGAGAAGAACGTTCAGATATATAGAAGAAAGGGACAGATATATATAGAAGAAAGGGACAGATATATATATAGAAGAGAGGGACATATATATATAGAAGAGAGGGACAGATATATATAGAAGAGAGGGACAGATATATAGAAAAAAAGGACGGATATATATAGAAAAAAGGATGGATATATAGAAAAGAGAGACAGATATATATATATAGAAAAGAGGGACAGATATATATAGAAGAGAGGGACAGAGATATATAGAAAAAGGACGGATATATAGAAAAGAAGGACAGATATACATAGAAAAGAAGGACGGATATATAGAAGAGAGGGACAGATATATATAGAAAAGAGGGACAGATATATATAGAAGAGAGGGACAGATATATAGAAGAGAGGGACAAATATATAGAAAAGAAGGACGGATATATAGAAGAGAGTGACAGATATATAGAAAAGAAGGACGGATATATAGAAGAGAGGGTCAAAGATATATAGAAAAGAAGTACGGATATATAGAAGAGAGGGACAAAGATATATAGAAAAGAAGGACGGATATATAGAAGAGAGGGACAGATATATATAGAAAAGAGGGACAGATATATATAGAAAAGAAGGACGGATATATAGAAGAGAGGGACCGATATATAAAAAAAAGGACGGAAATATAGAAGAGAGAGACAAATATATATATATAGAGAGAAGAAAGACGGATATATTGAAGAGTGGGACATATATAAATAGAAAAGAAGGACGGAGATATAGACGACAGGGACAGAGATAGATAGAAAAGAAGGACGGATATATAGAAGAAAGGGACAGATATATATAGAAAAGACGGACTGAGATATAGAAAAGAGGGACAGAGATAAATAGAAAAGAAGGACGGAGTTATAGAAGAGAGGGACAGATATATATATAGGAAAGAAGGACTGAGATATAGAAAAGAGGGACAGAGATATAAATAGAAAAGAAGGACGGAGATATAGAAGAGAGGGACGAATATATATATATAGAAAGAAGGACAGATATATATAGAAAAGAAAGACGGATATATAGAAAAGAGGGACAGATATATATAGAAGAGAGGGACAGAAATATATAGAAAAGAATGAAATATATATATATTAATTTATAAAGATTAAGAAGATAAGATACATAGCAGATAAGAACGGATTTAAGAAGCTCAGGGCGGATATATAAGGAGAGAAGAACGGATGTCATATGGAATGGTTATATCTAAAAGCTAAGGACGATACATAGCAGATAAGAACGGATTTCAGAAGCTTAGGAGTAGGACGGATATATAAGGAGAGAAGGATGGATGTCATATGCAAAGGTTATATATGTCTTAAAGCTATGGACAGATACAACAGATAAGAACGGATTTATTAGAAGCTATGGACGCGGATATTTATGAAGAGAGGGAAAGATATATATGAAGAGAAGGGCGGATGCTGTGGGACAAGTTTTCCATGCCCCTCCCTAGCTCCTATACCCTCCACCATTCACCAAATCCTGTAAATCAGCCCTGATATCTATTTAAAATATAATCTAATGTTTTTACATAAGTGAACAGTTTCTTTATTTCTCTCTCTCTCTAGGGGTTTCAGTTCTGACGACCGTGCTCCTATCTATCCATATTTCTACTTCTAGGCAATATCTGCCTAATTCTCTTTCTACCTATCTATCTATCCTACTTTCTCCCTGCTTGTCTATCTATCTATCCTAGTCCACGTCAGCATAGAGTGTACTGTACAGACCCGTTAGAGCAACTCAGTTCTCTACCTCTCTCCACGTCTCCTTCCACTCTACAGTCCACACACTCAAATATATATCCTCGTTCATACAACACACATCGAACATGAAGGTTCATTTTCTCCTCGCTTCGCTCGTTTCTCTGGCAATCTGTGATCCCGAGGTAAGGATTATTTCAAGTCTAATGCATAGTCCGGAGTCAGGTTTCATATATTTTAAATCAGGGGAGATAGGTTTCATTTTTTTTCTTGAATTTCTCCAGCTGTCATTTCAACCGTGACATAGTGTGTTTATACACCTGTTGATTTACGTGTTGCTAATTTTATGAAACTTATTTTAATATTATTTGGCAGGGGTTACCCTTTTTCCCATTAATTATTTGTGTCCCAACATTATCTCATGCATTCAATTTAGTATTGCTCAATTCAAAGTTAGAGGATAAAAGGAAAATTTTTTAATAATTACAAATTTTCATTTTTCTTGAAGCCTTCTTTCTAAAATCGAGGTGGGGGGGGGGGGGGGCATGTGGGCATGTTTTTATAATAACACCCTTATAATGATTTAAATTTTTTTTTTTTATATCGATAAATATTGTTTTGTTTAGATGACTGAGAGTGGTCTGGGTATAGAGTATATCAGTAAACCTGACACCTGTGACCGGCTGGCTAGGAACGGTGACCTACTGGAGATGCACTACACTGGAACCCTTGAGGACGGAAAGAAGTTTGACTCCAGCTACGATAGATCCGAACCCTTCAAGTTCCAGATCGGAGTAGGACAGGTTATCAAGGGTTGGGAGCAGGGCGTGGTTGGGATGTGTGTTGGAGAGAAGAGAAGGTTGATAGTTCCTCCATCACTAGGATACGGAGATCAGGGAGCTGGAGATATCATCCCTGGCGGAGCTACTCTTCACTTTGATGTAGAACTGATGGGAGTAGAGGAGGGACCAACTCCGGTCAATGTTTTTAAGCAGATTGATATGGACGGAGACAAGGCTCTGACGAGGGAGGAAATCTCAAAATTTGTAATTCTTACGTCCTGCTTCTATACTAGCGAGCCACCTGGATAAAGGTAGAGTTCATCCCGACCTTCACTTTTCATTTTCTTTTTGAAAAATGTTCACGGTTTAAGGTTTTTATTTCATCTGGTTTTGTATTCAGCAATCTTGGTATTTCAAGTTTTTACGTTTTGTCAAGTTAATAATTTTTTTCTGAAAGGAATGTTGAAATTTCAAGGATTTTAAGTGAAGATAAATCTTTAAAGGTTAATGTTGTGAATCGGACAAGAGACTTAAAAACTGATGGTCCCTTAAAATTACGTCTATCCATATTTAATTTATAAAAATTTTGGCCACAATTATTTTTAAGAAACTATTAATCACTGAATTCACTACTTTCGATCCCCACGCAATCTTTTCCCTAAAGGCTGAGGCCGCCTTAATTCATTCTTTACTTTTACGTCACCTTTCACATTAAAAATATGTTTTCCACATTTAATGGTCACGTGAAAATTAATGGCTCTTGATATTTTTGTTTTCGAATCGTAAATATTGGAAATCATATTGTCAGCATTTTTCGAGGGATCTCAAAATTGATAAAACATTGGGTTTATAGAATTGTTAACTTGGTTTTATTCAGGAGGGAGGGCTGAATTTTTTTTTATGAGGGGCTCAGCACCCATTGGAGCCCGAACCCCCCCGGAAACCATAGATTCTACTGATTCAGAGGGGGCTGAACACCCATAGCCAACCTCCCTGAATACGCCTCTGGTTTTAATATTTATCAAAACAGGAACGCTTTCGCTTTTCAGTTTTGTATGGAAATAATTAAATGTCGTCTTCGTATTTCTTTTTGGAAATCGATAGCTCCAGTTCTGCTAAATAGATATTGGGTCCAATCGTTCAAGGAACCCGTACAAGATTTTACCGATCTAGTATATTTTTACCATTTATAACATGCATTAACTCGTACCGACAAGTCTGGTTTACCTAGTTTAAAGTCTACCCAGCACATTGTATGCAACACATGTAGGCTGGCAAGATCTATGTGCAGTTAAAGTTGTGATTTTTATTTTTATTTTATTGCAATATGTATAAATGATACATCTCTGAAAATGTTCAGGGCTTATTTTTATAAATTTACACTGGTAGGCGATACATCATCAATACACTACAATAAAGACAAATTTAAATGTTTACAAGCTTTTTTCGAATAACTTGTACCCATACTGTTAAAATTATGATATAAATCAAAACTGAAATCGAAAGTCGTCTTCATTATATTGACTGAAACGACAAGTGTACCTTAAAATTAAGATCGTCTGAAATAAACCAATTTTGTTCACTGATACTGAAATTATATATATTGGGAACCCGGCGCTGCCCTGGGTACTCTTAGTTACTTTGGCCGTTTACCCACACTTGGTCGATTTTACGGGGAAACTAAATGTTCATTATAAAAGTCGACCCACTCTACTTGGAATCTCAAAACCAAGCTAAGAACTTTCCCATGGCTCTCCCAAACTCCCCAATCAAAATGTGAGGCGAATCGGTCAAGGGGTTCCTGGGTTATGATCGGACAAACAGAGATTGCAACTTTATATATAGATAATCCTATTTGGTCGTCTTATAATCTTGGACATTCTTTTCTACGATTATTTAGAGAGATCTGAATTCAATTGATCTCGTTTTTTTTCTCAACTTTTTTTCGATTTAAAAAAATAATTTATTTTGTATTTTTTTAGGTTGAGACAATGCAGAATGCGGGTGGAGAACAGGGAGAGGAAGCTAGGAAAATGTTGGAGGATCAGGATAAACTAGTTGAGGAGATCTTTGCTCATGAAGATCATGACAAGGATGGAGTTATCTCTCACGAAGAGTTCTCTGGACCTAAACATGATGAACTATAATTCACCCAAACCCTTCAAAACTTACTTAATCACCCCCCTCCATTTCTCCCCCCTCTCCCATTCTTCCTGTCCTTCCCCTGTGAATGATATTTAAAGTGTCCTTATGTAAATAATTAATCTTATTTTAAGTTTAAAGCCTATTTTCATGGCTTATGTTTATTATACATACATAACTGCATTCAATTTCTATCGGTGCTTCCTAGAACACATTCCCGAAACGATCTTTGCAAAATTTTTAACTTAGGAATTCAAAATAGTGATCAGGAATTCAAAATGGAGGCCCGGAATTCAAAATGGAGGTCCGGGTCCCTCGGTAAAGATCTGAAGCTGTGATTTTTTGTTACAAATATGTTTTCTAGTTTTTTAATACTCTTGTTAATAAAATTTGTCACAACATTTTTCTTGTTTTAAAAAGTTTTTATCATTCTCGATGTTTTCAGACCATCTTAAGTCTTAAAAATGCTGAGCATACTTTTTTTTCAACTTTTGTGTACTTTTGTAGTAAAATCTGAACTGATCATTAATTGTAGAAAAAACTAAATAACCATGAAATATGCGGGAACAGTTGTAAAGAGCTCCATATAATTACCAATTAATAAACTAAATAACTGTATGGCAGCATCACATAATCAGTAGGATAAGAAAAAACTTTATAAATTCTTTCCAGGTCTTCAAAGCTCTGGGTTTAACTTTAAAATGTAGAAAATCAGAACCGATGTATTAACAAAGAAAAGATGATAAAGGATATAGGTCAGGTTGGCGAACTGAATTTTGGACGAGTAAGGGCGGCCATGATTCTAGATAAACCGCTTCGTAATTTTAAAGTCCTATTAAAATTAAAATACAAATGTATTTTATAAGAATTTTTTTCAGTTAGAATTAGAAAACCGCTTTAATATATTATAGGAAATGGAAGGAAATGATTGCATATTATTTCCAAACTAGTCAGATGGATAGGGTAAACATTATGAGTACCCGACTGCAAAGCTTGCATAATTTCATATGGTAGGGCGGGCCGCGTTAGTTGTATCTTCTCTCTATTTCATACTCCTTGGGTGACACTGACACATTGTAAATTCAAAAGATTTTTGCACAACTAATTTAAAAGGAGTTATGATTGAAATAAATAAGGTTTTAACCTTATGGAATGTTTGTAAAAATATTTATTTTTAGTTACAAATTAATAATTCCTGAGCACGTTTCATGATAAAACGTAAATATGGCGACTTTCATTTCGGTGTTTTCTGGTTACCACTGTATTTATAAATATACCATCTCATTAAATATTAGAACTATGAAAAAAAAAGAAAATCGTATGCCTGACTGCCCACGATACAACTAATACAGTTCGGCATAATAAAGGTTATAATGCAAGGAAAGTTATTTGCAGTTGCTTATACTCTGCGTACATATTGAAACCAGTTCTCTCTGGTCGGAATTTGTAAACAAGAATAGATGCATCAGTGTTCGTTTAGTATCCGAGGAGGTTAAAAGCATTAGATTTTGAAAATTTTGATAATTCTCATAATTCTCATAATAGTTTCCATGACCAGAAAATTTCATTGATTTTTTTATGTTAAAGATAGATCCCATGTCAGCCTTCGACATCCGTCTTTTTGTTTACATTACCGCCCAGAGACAGTACACTGCAGCACAAAAGATGCGTTCACCTCTGAAATAACTTTCGTTGCATTATAACCATGGGCATAATTAAAAATTGTCCTTCAATGTTTTGCGTACTGATCGTTTCTATAAAATATGGCAAGCTTAGTTGCATTTTTTGTGGTAATTCACAAGTATCCCAGGGATCGTTTATGTACAGTTTAACACAGAACTTTGGGCACATTGAAATAACTTGTAAAATATCGTTTTCTAAACCCTCTAATAATGGAATGCTGCTGATATTTAGTTTTTTAATCGAATAATTGTATGGAGCTCTTAATACCTGTTCCTGCATTATTTTATAGCTATTCATAATTAAAATTATAGTTTAGGTATTATAGTACAGAGCGAGCATCCCATATCATGATTATCTCCAATCTTAACGCCAAAATACGCACACATAATACTCGAAAAACCTTGTATTTTGCAATTTTCTAAATATTTGCTAATACATATAACAACAAATTTTATCTATATTTCTCAAAGAAAAGGAACGATTGTACTTTTTTTTGCTACAATTTGCATTAACGTATTTTGTTACAGAAACTATTTTAATGAGCATTACATTTTTTACACCGGGTCTAATATTCTTTTATTCATATGATCATTCCTTTTAGATTATTCAATATATCATTTACTATCAACCAAATTTAAACCAAAAGAAATTTCGACCCCTCTTGTATTCAATGATAAACCCGAGGGAGTGGTCCAAGGGTTTATAATCGAACCTAATTTTAATTTCCATTGATTTTAATTTGTCCGAGGTTAATAGTTTTAATTCACATGGAACTGCATACATCAGATTTTCAGGTTAGCGGGGTTCAATGAATATTGTTGAGCATACCATATAAACCCGCTTTTTATAAAGGAATGTAATTTTCTCTGAAGAGTTAAACTCTATATATTTTCCCAGAGTTGAGAGTTATTTAAAATTCTGTTTGATTTCTACAGAGTCCAGTCCTAGGTCCAGAGGTGAGAGTTTATTTATTTGCAAAAAACTCTCAAAACTCTGCAGTGTTTCCTTCGTAGACTTGTTGGATCTGCTAGATTTAGTAGACCTTAAAACATGAAATATGTTTTTGTTTATATTTATTGTTTATGTTTATGTTTATGTTTATGTTTATGTTTATGTTTATGTTTATGTTTATGTTTATGTTTATGTTTATGTTTATGTTTATGTTTATTTTTATGTTTACATTTATGTTTATGTTTATGTACCTGTTTATGTTTATGTTTATGTTTATGTACCTGTTTATGTTTATGTTTATATTTATGTACCTGTATGTTGGATATGAGATGGTTAAATTGTTTGAAGATCTGTTGATGGTATGTTTGTTGTCGTACACAACCTTGTACACCCTGTACATAGATACATATTAGAGATGACCATCGTTTGTATGTTCAACAAAAATTATGCTTGAAACGATTTTACTATTAGTTTTCTTTTAACAAAAAACATGTTTGATTCAAAATTCTACAAGTGTTTTTATTGCATCATGTATTTACTGGAATTTTGATCCGGACAAAATGTATTTACCAAAACAATTTTAACAATACTTATTTATCGTTTTGTCCTTTATCTGCAGTGACGGTGTAGAAGTGAAAAAAGTCGAATTTTTCACAGTTTAAAAAATTCCAAAGAGTAGGACTTTAACTTATTATTTTTATTTTTCTTTAATACAGAATAATAATCGCTTGAAAAATGTTATTTTTTCACCCAAAAATTATTTCTGAGATTACAGGGTATTATTTAATTTAATTATTTAATTATTTAATATTTATTGTTAAAGAAATTGAGTTTTTGGCATAACTCTAATTTTCTCATCCCTATATCTTAGTAACCTGCATGATGACGTAAACCTTTACTATTTGATATTTAATCTAACAAAATCATTGTTTGAAATATTAAAGGTCTATACGACATCTGGTTGCAAAAATGCTAAAATCAGAGTTTGTGGCAAGATATTTTTCTTTTTTACCAACCTAGAGAGTATAACAAGCATGATGAGGAGTACAACTAGAGCTGTGAGGAAAACTGCCAGAGTTACAGCAGGGCCTAGATTAGATCCGTCCTCAACCTTAACCTCACTCCTTACCGGAGCAGAGACATGGAGAGGAGTTGAGATCTTAGAACTACCCAGCAGCGATACTTCAACTCGAAGGTTTGAGGTTTCACTCAATGGTATCAGGATAGACGTGGAGTTAGTGAGAATCATTCCTAGGATTTCTCCGTCCTCCCATCTAACATAAGTTTTAATCAAACATAAAGTTTTGAAACCAAAAAAAAATTATTTGAACTTTCAAATTCAATTTTCAAAATGTTTAAAGGTTTGATTAAGTTTCCTAACGATATATTTAGCAGGATAAGATGTCGGAGACTGAATATCCGTCCAGCCGACTTCAGCTTTGAACCAACTTGGGACGGGTTGGATACTTCTCAGCTCCGGGTTCCAGGATCCAGGTTTCTCCGACAAAGATCGACAGGATTGGATCTCAGGAACCATCAGTTCAGCACTCTCCACCTCCAGTGTGCTACTCACGGACAGAACACGGATTTTATCCATCTTCTGGAGTGTGTCCAGGCTAAGCTGGAAGGAGGTTGAGATGGTTTGATTTAGCTCATACCATCTCCTACTCTGATCCTGACCAAGGAGAACCTGAACCTTGCTCTTACTCCGGGTATCAGGTGACAGAGGAACCCAGAACAAATTGCAACCTGGAGAAGAAAAATTTTAGTCAAAATGTTTCATCTTGAAAGAGGTTTGAATTAACATTTTTACTACGCAAAAGGGCTGTCCTTGGTATTATAAGTGACATTTTCCTTTATAAAAGGAGGAGCATGCAGGCCACGTGGATTTAACGGTTCTGTCAATATTTCAGAAAACTGTGACTTTCGATCACAATTTGACCCCTCTTACATAATTTTGTAGCCTTTTATCATAAATATGTTTTTGTTGGCATATACATTTTAAATGAAAAGGTAGTAAACAAACAAATCTGTAAGTCTATAGACTGTCGAGTTATAGTCTATAGACGAAAACACGTTTGATTTCAAATAAAAGAAACCGAATGCTTCTCTCTCTCGTTGGTTCAGTATGAGGCCCAACTGACGAAGATACTCTCCAATCTTTTATCTGATAAAAGATTCGGAAGATAAATTTGTTTGTTTTTCCAAAAATTGTTTCTGACAATTTCCTCTATTCTTTTTGCAGCAGAAAATCAGCATCTATTTGTATTAAATATTTTAAGATTATCAGTTGCCAGAGAAAAAACGTTGATATCTTATTCATTCTTGAACAGACAAAGTTTTCAAGGTTACTGTTGTGAATCGGACATGCGAAAGTGACTTGAAATCAAGACTATGCTTTTTTAAAACAAAAATTTATGTTCCAATTGTACAAATTGCTTTTACCTGTTAACATAAGAGATGCCGTGTTGTGTTCTGTAATCAATGTGTTATGTACCGTATGTACACTAGAACCGGTTTTCATCCTGTCTGAATATGTACAGGCAGCCCTAGGAAGAAAATTGATAAGATTCACTCGGTTTTATTTGTATGTGGTTATTGTAAGAAAATAAACTGAGCACTTGACTCAAACTCTATAATTTCAATTTTTATATTTTTGCAATTTGATGTCATAGCTTTTAATATTTCAAGCATACAGGGTGTCCCAAAAAACATTGGAGTTCAGTGACGAATTCGATATCGTCTTTGTTATGAATTAGGATTGTAATACCTAATTTCAAAAGCCATAGTATTATATTATGTCTGCTAGCGTTTATTTTATGAAAAGGGTAAAAGACTGTAAAGATGTGTCTATAATGTCTCCGCAAGATGAGCAGTGAAGACGGACAAGTTTACACCGTTTGTATACTGCAATTTTCTTGTTTTAATAAGTACAACCGTATGCAGTCAAAACATAAACAAAGAAAATGTGAACATAGCAGACGAAACTCTTACAGATTACAGCTTTCTCAGTAGGTATCACTATACTAAATCACATAATTATTTGAAAAGACGATATCGAATTCGTCACTGAATTCCCATGTTTATTGGGACACCCTATAGATGATAGAATCTAATAGATCAACTTCAGTAGTTTGAAATATCAGGTTGCAAAGACATTAGATATTTGACCATTTCAGTTAGAGGCAAAGTGTTTAGTTTATTTGTATTAGAAATATTCTGAAGAAAGAAAAGTATATATAATATACAGTAATAACCAGAAAACTTTAAGAGAATTTACTTAAGTGTATTCTATACAAAGCAAAGAGTTTACTAGACATTAGTTAAATGAAGTTGGTCTGTTTCAACTGCACAATTGCTGTGTCCCAAGCTCACTGGACTATTTAAAGTCATAATACGCGTCTAAAAGTCGTCTTCCTATTTCAAGTTTTCTGATTATCAGGGTATTCTAAATGAATTAAATGAATTATTTTATCATTGCTTTCAATGAATTAATTTATCGTTGCTTTTAAATAATAAATATCTTTTAGATTAAAAAGTAACAGTCTAAATTTAAGCGAGAAATGTGAGGGAAAACGAAGGCTTTACCTAAAAGGCAAAATCAAAGAAAAATGTAGTTTCTACAACTTTCTTTAAAATGTTTTTACCGGCATCCTTCTCCACATATACTCTCGTCGCATACTCCCGACCAATCTTTACCCTCAGAACCTAAAAATAGAAATATCTTATAAATGTCGTCTTACACAAACTTTTAGGTAAAAGTGTTATATAATTATAGAATGTAGATTCGTTGGGAGTCTCAGACCCCATAATCTCAAAATTTACCATCTATTTCGTTCGTTTTCTTAATTGGAGATCGTGCAGTAAAACCGTTCGTTCAGCGAAACCGTTCAGTTTCCACCTTTTTTGTTCGTTTTCTTACTGAACGATCGTTCAGTAAAATCCTTAGTTAATTAAAATGGTTCGTTCAAAAATCGTTTTTAAATAGTCTGTTTGAAAAAATCGTTCGTTCAGTATAAAAAAACACGATGCCCGCATAGAACAAACGACCCTGTTTTAGAGTCTGAAAACGACCCACACGACCCCAAAAACGGGCGCAGGCCCGACTCTGTTTTAGTACTAATAAAAGAGTCGTTTTTAGACCGAAAAGACCCTGAATCCGTCTCTCCTCAAA